AGTCTTCAGTGTCCTGATGAACGTGGTGAAAGTTTCCCGTTTGCACACAACAGGTTCCATTTGTTTTGCTCGTCGCTTTAACGCTGTCTTCCTCTTCTTGAACATATGATCATCACAAGCTGGCGCGTGCGTGCATGTGCGTGCATGTGCGTGCATGTGCGTGTTCAGCGCACAGGGAGAGGTCATATGACAGATAGCATCAGCGATGAAGGCGCACGCTAAACACAGACTTTTTTCATCGCTGCTACTGGATGAGAACACTCAATTGTTGGTATTTGATGGTGTTTATATATATATATAGTTTGTATTGTCAGACAGACGTTTTACTTATAAGACTGAGAGAAAAACCGAGGAACTTCCAAAACCAACAGAAAAGCTGCAACACTGTAAGACATGAACTTAATCCTTTATTTCACTCACGCATGACTGAGGGGCAAATTTAAAGACATTAAATGTGCAAAACAAAGTGATGCAAAAGCATCTTTTTTATTTCTAACACATAAAATCTCCAGTTCCTGCTGGTCTCTGATTAAACTCAGTTGTAAACCTGTGTGTGTGTGTGTGTGTGTGTGTGTGACCATCTGTCAGGTATAAATTCACCTGTACGGTTATAGAAACAGGGTCCTCGTTGCTAGGAGATATTGCTCACATTAGCACACGGTCCCTGACATTTTCCAAAGCAGACGAGGTGGCAGGAGCAGAAAACACTCGCTTGAATATTGTAAAGATGTCAGTGAACAGTGAAGCTTTACCAGTTCGTTTAAAAAGCTCATGTAAACTTTCTGAAAATTGTATTTAAATGTAAAAATGTTAATTCAGATGGAGAGTTCCTCTCCACGAGGGGCCGTTCTGTTCCACTTTTCTATTTAAGGGTCACAGGTGGCTGAAGGCCTCCAGTAGGGGCCCCTGGTACTGGCCCCTTCTCATATAGACGCTTCCATGGGCTGTTGTTGCAAACAGCATAGTTCCCATAATTGCAATGTTGGACAAATCACTGCACACTGGATCTCTGTACAGTGCTGCTACTCGTTTGCAATGATGGAGTCTGCTGAAGTGGCTCCAGCTTCAGGTGTTTCACAGAAGCTTCAGTTTCGATGTTTCCTGAGCAGACTCACTGATGACATCATCATCAGGCCGTGTGACGCTGTGAGATGTGCAGAGGAACAGAAGGTCCTGCAGTAGCTGACAGTCGTGTTAAATCGATTAACTTGTAATTGT